GTTACCAGGAGTGGGAGGGGAGTGGAGGGAACACTGTTAGATAAGTAGAGACAAGTATTGATCTGGGTGAATAGAAGGGCAATATACCAAACGTGAGTGATCAACATGGTGGCACTGAGGAAGAAGAAGAGAGGTACATGGGAAGTGCAGACAACAAAGATGAACCCTTTTTCACATACAGTACAGTGAAGGCAAACATTAATATACAGGTGGATAGATGGGTGGACAGACTGAACAACGTATATCTTTGTAGGGGAGAGTATGTCCAACACCATGTATAGGATTGGCAGATAATGTTTCTACAAGTGTATTGGGATGTTCTGTAAGAATTCCTAAGTATATACTAGAGCTGACAAGGGACAAGGTTGTAGGCACTTCTTGGCCACAGCCAGCTAGGCAGAGGGAGGGAGGAAGTAGTTGGACCTGTGGACTCGGGACCATGGTCACAGGGGACATCAAGCTCAACCGGCATAACATACTACACAAAACATTGTTCCACATCCTACTTTGGCAAGTAGTGACTGGGATCTTAACAGCTTACAAGCAGCCACTAGATGCAACGATGGGTCTCTCCTCGTCCAAAGCAAAGAAGAATGAAGAAAACCAAAGATTCATGGAAACAATTAGTCCAACAGACTAGTACTTCGTGTGATCCTCAGCCTACATGACTATGAGACCAAAAGAACTAGATGGTGCCTGGCCCACCACTGTCAACCACTTGGAGGGGGATCTCTGTAGGAGATCCTGGATAGTGGGAGAACAGTGTGGAAGAAAACTCAAAAATCATTTGGGGAAGGAAAAAAAAAAAAGGACCAGGTTTGCTGGTCTGATAGAGCCTGAAGGAACCACTAAGACTATGCTCCCTAGCTGCCCTTCAGGTCTGGAACTGAACCCACACCTGTGGCTCCCAGCCAAACAAAAGACAGGCATATGAGGTGAACATTTACATTAGATATATATATATATACTCCTTGTAGAGAACAATCATGAGAAAATCGAAGGGCTATGTACGCACAGGGAGACAGCTCAGGGGGCAGGAGTGCATGGAGGGAAAGACATAGGGAAGAGGAAACTATGTTGAGGAAGTGGGAGGGGAGCTGTTGCACTGTGGTAAACTGTAGTCAATGTCATGAGACAAAGTGTATGTGAGCGACTGTACGGAAAATGGAAAATGAATTTGCTCTGTAAACTTTCATCCAAATCACACTAAAAAAAAGAAGAATTTAAGATGTACAGTTATCAGCAGGAAGTCTGGGGAATTGAAACCCTGTAAAGATCTTAGACCATGGGCCAGATCAAGGTCAAAAACAAGAAAATGAACCCATATGTACTTACAGCTGGAAACGACTCAAATTATACGTTTCCTTGGAATTGAGAGTAGATTAAAGCAAACAGTGTAACTGGGAAACAAAATGCTAAGAAACAATAAATCCACCAGTCCTTTTAAGGATGCAATGAATTTGGAAAACAAAACTCATTCATTCATTCAACAAATACTTATTAGGTACCCTCAAGTAAAAAAAAAAAAAGAGAGAGAGAGACATCAGATGACATACTGCATTGGGCAAATCTGCTGCGAAAGACCTCTTTCAAGTGATGAAGAGCAAAGATGTCTCCTTGAAGACTAAGGTGCACCTAACCCAAGCCATGATATATTCAATTGCCTCTTATGCATGTGAGAGCTTGACAGTGAACAAGGAAGACCAAAGGAAAGTTGATGTTTTTGAGTTGTGATGCTGGAGAAGAATGCTAAGAGTACCATGGACTGCTAAAAGAACTAACAAATCTGTCCTGGAAGAAGTGCAGATGGAATGCTCCTTGGAAGCAAGAATAGCCAGACCTCGTCTCATCTACTTTGGTCACATTGTCGAAGGAACTATTCCCTGAAGAAAGATATCATGCTTGGTAAAGTGGAGGGTCAACGAAAAACGGGAAGGCCCTCAACAAGATGGACTGACACAGTGGCTACAACGATGGGCTTAAATACAGCAAGGATCGCGAGGCTGGCACAGGACCAGGCAATGTGTCATTCTGCTGTGCAAAGGGCTGCTATCAGTCAAAAACAACTCGATGGCACCTAACAACAACAACCAACATTCAATCTGTATGCTGAGCAAATAATCTGAAAAAACTGGAGTATATGAAGAACGTGGCATCAGAATTGGAGGAAGACTCATTAACAACCAGATGACACAACTTTGCTTGCTGAAAGTGAGGATGACTTGAAGCACTTACTGATAAAGACTGAAGAGTACAGTCTGCAGTAAAGATTACACCTCAATATAAAGAAAACAAAAATCCTCACAACTATACCAATAAGTGGCATCATGATAAATGGAGAAAAGATGGAAATTGTCAAAGACTTCATATTACTTGATTCTACAATCAACACCAATGGAAGCAACAGTCAAGACATCAGATGACATATTGCATTGGGCAAATCTGCTGCAAAAAGACTTCTTTCAAGTGCTGATAAGCAAAGATGTCTCCTTGAAGACCACGGTGCACCTAATCCAAACCATGGTATTTTTGATCGCCTCATACGCATGTGAGAGCTGGACAATTAATAAGGAAGACTTTAGAAGAGTTGATGCTATTGAGTTGTGGTATCTGGTGAAGAATACTTACAGTACCATGGACTGCTAAAAACTCAACTACAACAACTCACTACTGTTGCGTTGGATCTGACTCATAGTGACCCCTCCTTGGGTTTCAGAGGCGGTATCTCTACGGAAGTAGATTGCCCAGTCTTCCTTCTGAGGAGTGGCTGATGGGTTTGAACCTCCAGCCTTCTGGTTAGCAGTCAAATGCCTTAGGCAGTACGCCACCAAATCTCCTATGGACTGGTGAACAAACTAACAAATCTGTCCTGGAAGAAGTGCAGCTAGAATGCTCCTTGGAAGCAAGAATGGCCAGACTCCGTCTCACCTACTTTGGTCATGTGGTCAGCAGGGACCATTCCCTGGAGAAGGACATCATGCTTGGTAAAGTGAGGGTCAACGAAAAAGGCAGAAAGCCCTCAAGAAGATGGATTAATACGGTGGCTGCAATGATGGGCTCAGGTATAACAAGGATCGTGCAACTGGAACAGGACCAGGCAGGGTTTCATTACGTTGTACGTACGGTCGCCGTGAGTAGAAGATGACTCAGTGGCACTTAACAACAACATCTTATACATAACGAAACTACCTCCTTGAGGTAATGTACAAAAAAAAAAAAACACCATAGTCTTTGGAGTTTCAACCAGCTGAGTTCAAATCCCAACTTTGCCACTTTCACTTAACCTCTCTAAAGGCTATTATGAGGGTCAAAATGTAAATCATTCACTATACAACAGGAGGGAGCTCTGGTGGCATAGTGCCTAAGGCACTTGACTGCTAACCAGAAGGCTGGCGGTTCAAACCCACTAGCCACTCCTCACAAGGAAGATGGGGCAATCTACTTCAGTAGTGATAGTGCCTTGGAAACCCAAGGAGGGGTCGCTATGAGTCGGGTCCAACTCGACAGCACGTAACAACAACAACAATACAATAGGAGCTCAGTAAGTAACAGCTATCATGGTATTTGTGCTGGGAGTGGGGCAGGTGCTCTAATACTTTTAACAATCAAAGTGGAAAAAAAAGCATTTTACATTCTCAAAAGATTTAAAACAGTATTCTTATTCACATTAGAAAAAACTATAGATCATGTCTCAGGACAAATTCTTTACAAGTATGCATTGTCTAAATTCTTTCATAAAATAAATAGACCACTCCTTTGCAGCCACTTTGTATAACTTAATCTGGTTAAAAAGTACTATATTGAATTTCCTGAAATTCCAGCCATTCTGCCTGGAAGATTCTAACAGGAATTCTCCGGATGGAAAGACAAAGATATATGCTGTAAGTACTAATACATAACTAAAAACCACCCTTTTCTTTCTTCACTAGACTCTGACAGCAAAGCAACCAGGTGATCAATGGTATCCCTTTCCACTTCTCACAGTGTGAATTCCTCCTGAGTTACTCTTTATGAATGACTCCATCAGAACCCAACATCTCTATTCTGAATTGTTCCCAATAAAGCTACAGTTACAGAAAGAAGCAAACTAAAGAAAACAGTTTCTAGATCCCTAAGATAATAATAAGAAGAACAACTGTGGAATTTATTTAAGTAGATACTTGGATAAATGGTTTTAAATCCTAAACACAAAATCAGTATGTCAGAAATACTCCCGGACCCAAAGCAAAGTCCACTAAACTTACAAAGGAATCTTGCTTAACTTCCTTCTCACTTCTGGCTACCCATTTTACCAAGTCTTGTTGTTGTTGTTGTTATGTGCCATCGAGTCAGCCCTGACTCATAGCGACCCCTCCTTGGGTTTCCGAGGCAGTATCACTACGGAAGTAGGATTGCCCAACCTTCCTTCCGAGGAGTGGCTGGTGGGTTTGAACCGCCAGCCTCCTGGTAAGCAGTCAAGCGCCTTAGGCACTATGCTACCAGAGCTCCTTTACCAAGTCTTAGGAAATAACTAAAAAGCTCCTACCTACCCTCAAGTCTCCTCACTGATTCAAATCTGCCATGCTAAAACACTTAGTCCCCCAGATCTGAAATTGTTCTGTGGAAGGGAAATACAAATACGAAGAAGCAGATATGTCCTATATATACACTCTTAACACTAAAACAAAGTGACAGCCTACTCCTACCCTCACTTGCAGGAGAAAAAAAGGGAGAAGTAAGCGATAATCAGCAGGCATCCAGAAACCCAAGTCTATAACAATTCAATCACAAGATTAACGGCTGCACCTCCACGGCCGAGGACCAGCACGGGGCCAACTGATGGATGAATAAGGCCGGTGGTGCGCCGCGACGGAGTGGCGGGGCCACACACTCCGGGTCCCGGCCCCGCCTCCGGCCGCCCCGGGTCGGCGGCAGCACCGCACTCCCGGCGCGGGAGCCGCGAGCCCGAGACCCCTTTGAGCTGCTCGCCTTCTCCCGCCCGCGCGGCGCCCGGCACGTACCTGCTTTGCAAACCGGAGCGCTCGGGCTCCTCCTCTCCGGGGAGCTTCGGCTCTGCTCCGGGGACCTTCTTCGATGCCGGACACGAGCTGGGGGTGGGGCTGCGCTCACCTCGCCTGTCCACAGGTGAGTGGGCGACGAGCTGGGCGACGATACGGTGCCCAGCAACGGCGGTGGCGGCCGTGGGGGGCTCCCGCGAGCCCCAGATGCGGTGCCGCGTGTGGGGCTTGTACCCCGCGTGGACGTCGCGGACGCGCCCGTCTGTGTGGCCACCGTGGGGCTGGTGCGCGCAACCGCGCTCCCGCCGCCGCGCGTGGGGCTTGTACTGCGTGAGGCGGTGCGCGGGCCCACGCTACCACCGCCTGAGGGGCCTGAGGCACCACCACAGCAGCCTCCGTTGTTGCCGCCGCCGCCGCCGCCGTTGCTCCGCGTGGGGCTGCCATGTTGCTGCTGCTGCTTCAGCTGGAACGGAACCGTCGCCCTCATGGGCTGCAGGCGACTCCCCGCTCCTCCAACCGCGGCGACCGCACCGCCCGCGAGGGAGCCAGCCGGCGTGGGGGACCCATTGCGCCTCACCCGCTGGGACATGGTCCCCCCTCCCTGGTGACTGCGCGAGACTGAGGCTTTTGTTGTTGTAGTGTTGCAGGGGGAGGATTCTCGAGGCCGGAGGGAAGGCGCCCGCGACGGGATGACGAAGCCGGAATCGGGGTGCGGGGGGCGTCCGGGCCGCAGCCGGCAGCAACGAGGTGGTGCAGCCGTCGCCGTCGCCGTTCCTCATCAACAATAGTGTCTCCTCCGCTTCCCCCGCCCCCCGCGGCCGCCCATTGGCGTAGCGTCAGCCGCGCTCGAGCCGCTCCACCGCGCCCATTGGCTGCGCGAGAGTTGGGTCCCGGGCCCCCGGGGCCTTAGAGAGCTTGGGTTTGAGCCGAGACAGTCTGCTCTTTAAAGAGAAAGAGACCCGCCCCCTGGGGGGAGGGAGAAGCTGAGGAAACGGGCCGTGTGTTTGTGTAGCGTGTGTATGCGCGCGCGGGAGTGTGTGTGCGTGTGTGTGTGTGTACGTACACCTGAGTACGCGAACGCGCGCGCTTGGCCACGCACATCTTTCCCTTTCCCCTGGGGGGAGCCCTGGGGAGTCAGACACTGTGATGTTGCCACCGCGAAACGTCCAGAACCAAAGCGGTCCCCAGGGATAAAGTGAAGTCTTTGCCCGATAACTCATTTCCTTACCACAGGACTAACTGGCAGTGGCCATGTACACACGTCTCTTTTTGACTTTTTTTCTTGGTATTTTTGTTTTGCCCTAATTCCATAAATGTATGGGCAGGGCTCAAAAAGAGATGAAATTTAATTAATCTTACTAGTATTTGACACACCACCTTTCCTGTGTCTCTCTCTTTCTCTCTGTCTCTGTCTGTCTGTCTCTCTCTCTCTGTCTCTCCGTCTCTTCCTCTCTCTCTTTCTCTCTCCAAATAGCCAAATCTCAGATTCATGGTTAAATGTGGTTTTAGATTGTATCTATGGAGTCCAGTTATCAAATGCTATTTCTACTATCCTGTATTTCAAATAAAGGACCTGAAAGCACAGTGGTTAAAGCACTCAGCTGCAAATAGAAAGGTTGGTGGTTTGAACATGGTAGCCTCTGTGAGGGAGAAAGATGTGGCAGTCTGCTTCTGTAAAAATGTACAGTCGCAGAAACTCTATAGGACCGTTCTGCTCTTGTCTGTAGGGTCACTATGAGTTTAGAATAGCCTGAATGGCAGTGGCTTTGAGTTTGGTATCTCTAGTAACCAAGAGTTTATTTAATGAACTGCTTCACAGTTCCCTAATACCTTGGAAAGGTGTCTCCTCCCTTACAGGTTTGTAAAGTGCTATAGTTCACAAAAGGCCCTATTTGATTCTCACAGTCATTATCTGTGAGGAGACTGGGCCAGCCAACCATTTTTGTCTAGTGGAGGAAACAGGTCTTTGTGATGGAGCAAGGACTCAGGAAGGTAATTAGTAACACAAGTTCTAAAATGACCTATGGGGCATCTCATTGAGACAAAAAAAATATATATGGAACTGAACACCCACACACCTCTGCAGTTGCATGTTGCCTGTCCATGGCCTCTTTTCCCTTTACTACTTTATTAAGTGTACATTCTAGACAGATTTCACTTTGTAAAAATGTAGGAATGGCACACTATGATTCATCCTGGGCCTAAAATCCTACTGGGTCTCTATGTACAATAGCAGAAAGCCTTTGAAGCCCTAGAAATTCGGACCCCAGATCTACCACTTAACTCTGTGACCTTTGGTGGGTCACTAGACAGCTTCCTTTTCTATAAAATGCAATTAAACAATACCTTCTCCTTCATAAAGTTGTGATTATTACCCAAGGGTTAAGTGAGAATGTGGTGTGAAGAAGGTGCCCAACACATCCAGAGTCTCTATGTGATTCAGCAGTCCATATCTCTCCCTACCACGCATTACCCATTCTCCTACCCTCTCCTCTGCTACCAAGAGACCCCCAAAGTACTCAGCCCAGGAGCCAGCCTGACTGAAGTGGCTGGTGCTCTGGGTAGACCTGACACCACTACCTATCTCCTCAACCTGGAATGAAGACAAAAACAGCTTCTCACTAGATAGGAGCATACAAGAATCTGCCAACAAGAATCTAGGCAAAAAGCTAAGTCTGGTTTTAAAACAATGGCTAATAGAGAAGATACTCCTTTAAATAAGGATGTCATGGAAGTATCTGGCACTTTGTCCAGCACAAAGTAAGAACTCAATACATAATTAATGAGCAGAGCCCAACAGGCTTCATATCCTAGCCTCCCTGACCAATTACTTTTTTTTTTTTTTTTTTTTCACTTTTTATGTCACTAAACTAGGGCCCTGTCTGTGGATTGCAAGAGGCTTTAGCTTTTCTGAGCAAAAGAATTCATTTCAGCAAGGAAGTTCATTAGATCAAAGTAAAATGCCCTTGGCACAATCAGGAGTTCTGGTAAAGCTAGTTCAACTTTTGTTTCTAGGCATGTTTCCTATAGAAACTTAAACCATACCCCTTCTGAAAATACTCCTATTTTTCATCTGATTTGACAGCTTTTTTCAATCACCAGTTTAGGGTTTAACTTTAAACAAATGAAAGTACTTTTGACTAAAGCTGGTATTAACCATTGCAGTCCCTTTTGTACTAAAAGGATGTTTGTGATGACTTACAAATAAAAGCTTTGAAAGTAGGAAGTCATCAAAGAATGCTAAAAATATATATATATATCTTAGGACTCTTTGTTCTGTTTTTCAAACCCAAGAACAATGTATAAAACATCATTTACTCTTACCCTTGACTTTGTTATCTGTTATTGAAGATTCAAAGCAAACAATGTGCATCAGGGTGATATACCTTCATCTTCACTTTGCTAGTTTATCTATAAAGAGAATCCTTGTGTTTCAAGATCAACAAAATAAGCACGTCTCCCCTTCTATTTTCAGCTTAAGTACAAACTACCTCCCTCCAGCTTAATTCTGCTTTTCTTGGGATATTGTTCCATTTTCCTCCAAGGTCGAAATGTGACTATATGAAACTGTAGATCAGAAGCAACATTGCAATTGGTTTGTCTACAATTAGACTCCAGAAAAAAATTATTGGTAAGCTCATTTGCTTCTCTGCTTTTATAAACTTTTTAAAATCATCTTGTTATGTTAAAGAAAGATGGGGCTTCAGGAAAGTTTATCTTTCTATAGTTTTTTTTTTTTTCTTACTTCTAGTAGTTTTAATAGAATCAGCCATATCCTTTTTTAAACTCTAATGTGTCATTGAATGGAACATTATACAGCCACTAAAATGATCATTACGAATGCAATGTTAATTACTTTCACTGTGAAATAGAAAAAAATAAAAATTATGCACCCATTGTAATTGCAAATATGCAAAAATGTTTATACATTATAAACAAATTACAAGGTAAAATACTGTAATGAAAATAAAATATTAATTTTCAAGGTAGGATTTTTATAAATTCTTCTCCCCTAGGAAATGTTGATATATGACTTATCAGAACTTAAATTGCTGAGTGTTCTCTACTTAAAAAGACTGCTACTTCACTGATTTCATTAAGGCCTTACAGAGTGCCACACATTCCTAGTGTTCCTCTTATCTCTCTGACTACTCCTCGATCATTTTTGCTGGCTCTTTCTCAACCTGGCCCTTAAACGATGAGTGTACTTCAGGACTCCATCCCAAGTCCTCCACTCACTCCCCACACTGATAGCTTCATTTGTTTGCCCAGAATACACTGACCATCACACTGTCATCTATTCAGTTGCCTACTTGCATCTCTTCTCCTTTGTCAAAACTTGTCCACAACTGAATTCATCATTTTTCCATACTCTACCACCACCACCTACTGGCTGTTCTTCCAGTTTTCTCCTGTCTTTGTAAATGGCACCATCACCTACTCAGTGCTCTCAACCAAAATACTGGAAGTCATCTCAGCTCTCTCCACTCCCTCACTGCAAATCCTGTGAATCACCATATCTTACCCATTCTAGTTCCCAAACCTTTAGGGAATCCACCACTATTCTCCAGATCCACCATCACCTCTAGTCAAGCCTCTGTTTTCTCTGATCTGTGTTCTTACACTTAGCTAACCAATCTTCCTAGATCATCTCTGCTCTGTCCCACTTCTCTAAGCCACCCACTCCCCTCCTATAATTCATTCCCTATACATCTATACTGGTCTTTTGACCTCCTTTCCCCAGGTTTGTTAAGTAATTATTATTTGTGTGTGTGTGTGTGTGTGTGTGTGGTAAAAATATATATAACAAATCATTTGCCATGTATATATAACAAAACATGTACAATTTTGTGACATTGATTATATTCATTATTTTGTGCAACAATTACTACTATCCTTTTCCAAACTTCCACCATTAAGAGAAACTTAGTGCTCCCTCCCTAAGCAATGAATCCATTTTTCTCTCCCTCCCACACAGTGATTTCAAACTTGTCTTTTAGATACTAAAAAAAAAAAAAAAAAAAAACCTTGCTTCTGATTAGATACTAAAGCCAATTTATTTTCCCTATTTTAGTTCAGCAGATCATCTCAAAAACCTGATGAGAAAGACAGTTCATGAATGAAATTAAAGCAGAGAGACTTGACTGAAACTAGAACCTAGGTCTTTTGACTCATATTCCAGCATTCTTTTGATACTATATTAGGATGACTTTCAAACAGACCAGCAGCTGCTCTAGGTATTGTGTACCTACCAATTAACAAATATTGTAAAGAGAAACCAAAGAAATTACGCTTGGAACTGGTGAGTATTACCACCATATACATAAGCTGCTTGAAGTAATATGCTTTTCCAACCATGCAAGCTTTTCCATCAAGATTCAGCTCAAATATATCCTTCCATATAGTCTTTTCCAATTCTCAGAAGCAATGTACCGACTCCCTAATCCCCCCTTTTTGCAAAATAAAAATTTTGTTGTTGAAAATATACATAGCTAACCATAAACCAGTTCAACAATTTCTGTATGCATACAATTGAGTGACATTGATTACATTCTTCAAATTGTGCAGTTATTCTCACCTTCCTTTTCT